TGTGGATATAATGGGTTGACCTGCCGCATGGAGATCAGAAAATATCTTGATGGTGAACACGAGTGGTACAACAGGCAGTTAGAAAGAAGAAAGCAGCATTCAAGAAACGGCTTTGAAACAAAGAGCCTTCTACTCGCGTGCGACACGTCGAGGCACGCAAGGCGGCAGCCAAAGCAGTGGCGAAAGTCAAAGTTGATTTCTGAGAGAAATTCGGGGAGGTGTTGGAGTCGAATTTCCACACGGCAAACAAAGTATTCGGGTGGACCATCCGCTGGCTCCGAGGTGAAAAGAACGGCAGTATCAGAGTCTTGAAGGACAGATCTGGGCACCCACTTACCAACGATGATTACATTCTTCAGCGACGGAAGGAGTTCTTCGAGGAACTCCTTAACCCGGCGCAACCGCAGGAAGACTCGCCTGTAGAGAAGCAGAGAACGGATATTATTATCTCTCTAGATGAAATTACACAAACTGTGAAAAGCTTGAAGAACGGAAAGGTTGCAGGAATTGATGAAATCCGCATTGAGATGCTCAAGGCGTAACGCGACCGAGGCATGTGGTGGCTTAGACATGTCTGTCAAACTGCGATGACTGCGGGAAAGATACCAGCGGACAGGAAACGGGAGTAATTGTGCCCGTTTCAAGAAGGGAGACCACAAGGAATGCTCCAGTTATAGGGCATCACTTTATTAACCCCCCAGGTAAAGTCTATTCAAGGTGCTAGAAAGGAAGTGAGGCGAAATAACTGACCTCAATATACAAGACGAGCAGTGTGGCCTCCGGCCCGGTTGAAGCATCTCTTGTCATATATTTGCCCTGCGACAGATTGTTGAGAAATTTGTGAGTACGCCCATCCAGTGTACATGTGTTTCGTTGACCTAGAAAAAGCGTATGACCTGATTCCAGGTAACAGTCTGTGGTCACGCCTTCGAGCAAATGGGATAGAAGGCCAGCCGCTAAAGTCCATCTAATCACTGTATTCTAGTAGCAGGTGCTGCGTCAGAGTTAATGGCATTAAGTAGAAACCGTTGTGACGAAAGCAGAGCTCGGTCTGAAAACTAAGCTCTCAATATTCAAGTCGATCTTTATCCCC